GTAAAATTCACTTTTCTTATTCAACTAGACTAGAAAAAACCAAAAAATGTTGGAAACATCTCTTTCATCTCCTTGGAACTCAGCTCTCCTCCAAAACCCTGTACACTACTCTATCTGAAACAAAAAGCGGAGACACGATCACGGCGAGCACACGGAGTGGACATCCCCAAGTCCGGGCGACCGGAGTAAACATTCGTCGTTATTTACTATGATTTCAATTTCTGTTTAGTTGAAGACAAACAAAACCAAGCAACAAAGATTTGCATTGATACTATGGATAGCAGCAGCTTCCACAGAGAGTCAACCTTGTAAACATTACATGTTATTGACAAGATTTTGTATAAACAAGTGGAGGCGCAAGATAATCGATGCCATAGCTGATTAACTTGGTAAACGCTGCAAATTCACTCCGACAGACTACCCACAGAGAGTCAGCGGAGGTGATGCCTGCAAGATGAAGAAAATTATGTGTGAATTAATAGAAAGAACACCTAAACCTAAACAATTAAGCACTAAGAAGACTAGGCAACAACATTACCTGAGAGTTTCTTTTGTTCCACGTCTAATTTTGCAACGTATTGTGGGGAGCCCAAGGCGCTGGTGAGCCTCGTAGCGATGACAACCAGAGAAACCTACCAAAACATGATCAAATCGTCAGCTATGATCCTGAAAAACATGTGCGTGCGGCTATAATATTCTGGTACAAACAAATTGCATCCTGAACGGAGTCCAATGATCTGTAAGGAAGAAATAGAGAGAATAATAACCCTTCATAGCTTAGAATAGTGATAGGCACGTACCATAATAAGCTCCATCGACCTCAAGCACATCAATCTGCATTAGCACGTCAAGTCAGACGAAAGCATATGATCCAGGAATTGAACGCAGATACTTGCACTCTAAAAACGTATACACATTTACACATCAACACATATCCAAAAGTTATTCGCAGCTATTAAGCCGAATCTTTAATGCTCAAAGTCATCTAGCGAGAGATGATCGAAGCATCAAGATGTAATGACGACATACAAAAGCTTAAGCTACCTATGGCCTTATACCGCATGTTAACTTATCACTACAAATTCATGTATCGTATTCTTTATAGAAAGCCTACTTGAGAACGCCTATATATTTCCAACAAAAAAACCTGGAATATTAGCGTCCAAATTATATGTTCTAATTGGTTTTCTCCTATGAAATACTGTAATCCCTGAGTTTCTTGTCAAACAAAATAGCAGAAATAAGTGTAGTTCCTAAGAGAAATTGGAAAAGGAAGAAAGGCAATCTAAGACTGATAAATCACAGCAACAATATTCCACCAACCTTGACCAGAATCTTTCAAGTTAAGACAACTACCTTCATACTCCCTATGTTTTAGTATGGTTTGGTTCCAACACCAGCTTCAAAGTCGACAATAAGAACAAATTAGTCACAAAGATTTATTCTTTCGATGAACTGAAAACTTCCATTAATCAGCGTGAGGGCGCACTACACAATTGCATCTTTCAAGTTAAGACAACTACCTTCATACTCCCTATGTTTTAGTATGGTTTGGTTCCAACAACAGCTTCAAAGTCGACAATAAGAACAAATTAGTCACAAAGATTTACTCTTTCGATGAACTGAAAACTTCCATTAATCAGCGTGAGGGCGCACTACACAATTGCTCACTCACGCCCCATGTTATCCTCATTTTCATTCGTTAATCAGTGTAAGGCGTACTGCACAATTGCTCACTCGCCCCATGTTATCCTCATTTTCATTTGTTGTTAACTATAAATTCATACTTGATCGAGCGGAAAGTTAAATAATAATCATCTCAACAAGTCCATTTTCTATGTCTAAGGACAAGCATTGCATTGCATTACACAATTAATAGAACACAGCCTGATATTTAAAATTTGAGAAAGGCAGGGTAAGCATGGTACTCAAAAGTGAAAACTTCAAAATAAATCATATTCAAAGCAAATTATTTTCTCTTCACTTTCTAGGAAACCAAACAGAAAGTACAAAACCCAACATAGTAAATTTAAAAGTTTGGGGCATTTAGCAGTTCTTACAGGTACTTGAAGGCCAATTTCTTGGATGCTATCCATGAGCTCTTGAACCTTGTTTGGATCGTTACTTCTGGTTCTCATCAATGGCCGCCTTATCTTATCCAGAGGAAGCTCCAGTATCACTGGCCCACCACCACCTCCACTGCTCCCCCGAGAACTCAAAGGAGTAGACCCTGAAAAATTAAATGTTAATCTTCATCAAAGTATCAGTCCAAAACAATTCATCAAAGTATTTTCTTTTGATCAAAACAATAGTGGGGAAGGGGAGAATCGAACTCAGAACCTCGAGTGTAAGAGTGAATGCATGTAAACAGCTAAGTTACTACAAGCCCCTAATTCCCATCAAAGTTTACATTTTTACAAGAGAAAGACTCAAATTAACTAGCCAATTAGCAATAAAATCTATACTCTAATAAAACTAATAGAGGTTTTAATTTTGGTACCATTGGATGAAAGAGAAGCAGAAACAGTGAAGCTTCTCAAGCTGTTTGGGACTTGCAGAACAAAGTGAGCCATTTTTCTGTAATATCTGCACCCTTTTGCAAATAAAGCCACTATCTTTTTTCTGTGTATTTATATCTTCCACAAAAAATGAAAGGGGTTGTGAAAGAATAGTCCCTTGACTCCATCAGAGCCGTTGGATGAGACTTTTATTGGTCTTTTTGGACGGTCCAGATGCAGCCCAATTTCCTATATGTTAAATTTTAATTAATTATTTACTTGGGAAATTCCTTTTGTGGGTATTGCATTGCAGAGTGAGCTTAAAAACCTGAGTCTCGAAAGGCAGTGAAAATTCCAATGGCTACTGCTGCAGTCACCTCCTTCTCTCTGTTTAGGTGTTTTTAATTTATTGCTGTTCTTGTTTATATCTGTAATTTTCGATCACTATGTTGGTTTTGGATGTATATTTTTTAGAATTTTTTGGTTTTGAAATTTTGGAACAGGAATTGTGCAGCAACAACTGTGAGAGCTTTTGTGACAGTGAAAGCCTCCAACCCCAATTTCACAACTTCCCTTCTTCCTCTCCACTCTCGCAGGTTCTCTCTCTCTCAATCGAAAATTTCTCAAATTTCTCAAATTTCATTGCGGTATTCTCAGCTTTCACCGTAATCTTCACCTGGGTATCTGTTATTTTTTAATTGAAAAAGTAAGGATGAGTGAAAGATGGCCCTTTGGATTTGTTTGAGGAGGTGCCACAAGCACAAGCCTTTTTGTAGAGTAAGTTACTGTTGGGCTGCTGTTTGACGTTGGTAAACTTTTGGCCTTTCTTCAAGATGTTTGTTGGTCGAAAGTCTCATACTTTTATCTGATTCAAAATGCTTACCCGGTGCCAAATCTAATTGTCAGTTGTGTTCTTGTTTAGCTGCAAATGACCTACGCGATGATCGGTTGTTGAAGAAGTTCTATAATCTTACTATATTAATATGCTGTTCATTTGAAGGTGTTATGTATATGTCATTTGAAACCAACTTCAATGTCTGGTGTGCTTGTCCTTTGGTGACTTGAATATAAGTATATAACTATCTGTCCCGTATGTTTGTTAGATCCCTGTGCCGTGTTAGCGCTACAAACAACGAGGAGGCTGCTGCAAAGGTAGCTGCAGTGAATGCTGACACTGGAGCTCCAACAATGTATCATCCGATTCCTTCACATAGTTAAACTGGTTTGATCTCACATTCAAGTTCATAGCATACCGTTTGAGTCTGGAACTTCCAATTGAACTTGTTGAGTTTTAACCCGTCAAAACATGGGAAGTCGGTGCTAAGTTGGAAGGAACTACTGAGGAAATTTTCTCCCAACTGAGAAAGTGGCAATATTCTTATTTTTCATCTTCATTGATTTTATCTCTTATTTTTTTTCAAAATTTCATGGAAAAAAAACTTATCACAATCATTACTGTCGAATTTGCAACGTTATTTTTTTTTTTTGAAACGTTATTTACTTCGCAGTTTGCACTGAAAATTTGAAATGGGTAAAAGCTGAATGGAAATTTAGTACAGTTAAAACAATGATTTCTTATCAAAGTTTTCCGCCTTGTTTGCAGATTTGACAAGATCATAGCTAAGGAAATCCCATCAAGCATTGTATATGAGGATGATCTGGTCCTGGCATTTCGTGATATCAATCCACAGGCTCCTGTTCACGTTTTAGTCATCCCAAAGTTCAGGGATGGATTAACCAGCCTGGGAAAGGTAATCTATGGCCCTTTTTAGCCATCGTACATGCCTTTTCTTCCATCATCAATCTTTGTTTTTACCAGTTACTTTTTTCCTGTTAAGACCCTATACTTTTCAAAGCATGTGTTATGCGTAGCACTTTTAAATGGTTCATAGTCTGCAGAGTGGAAACGCTTTCGTTTGATTTGCACATTCTGTCATTGCAGGCTGAACTAAGGCACACGGAAATACTAGGCCAACTTCTCCATGCTGCGAAAATTGTGGCTGAGAGAGAAGGTATTCTTGACGGATTTCGTGTGGTTATCAACAATGGTGCAGAAGCATGTAAGTTTCCATCCCCATATCTCTGTGCCTTCCTTTCATGGTTGTGCAATGCGTAGTTTGTCGTTCAATCATTCATGGTCTCGCGCCCTCCAGGTCAATCCGTTTATCATCTCCACTTGCACGTCCTTGGCGGAAGACAGCTGAAATGGCCGCCTGGTTGAAGATCTGAAGCTGATGGCACACCCACAAATTTTAATCTTCATGTGATATGATGAATGTGTTGTGGGGAGTTCCTTACGCAGGATGTTAGAACACTTCGATGAAACGACCAGAAGAGATAATAACCGGAGGCCTTTTACCAATCTCAGTTTGTGTATTGTTTGTTTATGTCTTGATAATGTGACTGAACTGGAAACATGGTTCTCTTTTGTTTCAGTATATGAATGTTGCCACAAATGGCTGAGATCGCGACGTGTTTACGAATGCAAGGCAAGACAAAAGATGAAACAAACATGATTTTTATTATCTACCAATGTACAAATGAATTACAAGTTACAAGTAATTTAATTTAATTTCCAGCCGCTGTTTCTTCATGACCACAACAGTATCTGCAAGTACAACAAATTGTACAAGGTTCCGGTATCGAAAACCCCCATCTGTGAAAGAAAGAACCGCGTGTGTCATTCAGCCTTGCTATAACCCGCATAAAGCTGCAGCTTAGAACAAAGTAGCGACTGCTCATCACTCTTCCGAAGATGCATAAGCGAATCATTAATGGCTAATGGTCGATCCAAGGCTTTCTGATCTATATATGAAGATCCATATGACTGACAGAGAGAGTTCTCTCTCATCGATGAAAGTGGCATCATAGGCTAGTTATAATCCCGGTCTGGTTTGAGCAGAGACAAGAGCAGTCTAGCACATTTGAATCCCTCTTGACAAGTCGCCTTTCGCGGTTGATTGTCAATTTGATAAAGGGGAGCTTCTGTGCGATCTGGCGCCAGATTTCATTCACTGTTCCATTTGGTTCTCCATATTGAAAATAATGCTTCACCTAAATCACGAAATTCAGATTAGTACGGAATGGTAATTTCCACTGGCATTACCTGTGCACTGTAATTACTTAATAGATGACAGTAATTTTGTACCATTTTCATACACCAAATTGCGGTCACATAACATGCATAAAAACTTCAATTGTAAAACTCTTATGCATCAACACCAACTTTCCACAAAGTAACCGAGAATTTCAGCGTGGCCACAGAGAGGATTCAGAGTATGTAAGATGTCATGATTTTACCGTGTAGAAGACCTTCCTAGTGTCACGGGATGACTCTTTAAGCCTTCCGCCCGTGCGGCACTTAGACTTGAATACCTCGATGAACAAGCTAAGTAAGCCTTCGAAGCCTCGCTTCCCCGGATCGAATCACAAAGAAAGCTAAGATTGCTTGGAGAATGCTAAGATCACTTAGAAGATGGGAGAAAGGAAGCTTTGTATTGAAAGTTAAGAGAACTTTACAATTGCTTACAATTCTTGGATGGTTTGGCCAAATGGCCTTACCTCCTATTTATAGGCCTAAGTCACCTCCTCAATGGAGGGTTCTAGAATCCCCTACTTACATCCAAAAATATCTAGCATAGCTCTAGATACAACTTGCCTAATCTAGATTATTCTAGGTGAGGCTTAAATATGTACACTTGTGTGGAATGTTCCGGAATGCCCTAAGATTATCTTGAATGCTCCGCCACGTTCTTGATTTCTCCGGGACGTTCCAGAAGCTTCCATGAAGACATGGCTTCATGGGCTTAGATATATGATGTCTTGGGCATTTTCTTTGTTTTTAACACATGGCCCGTGACATCCTCCCCCACTTAAGCCGTCGACGTCCTCGTCGACTCTTGCCTCTCGAATGTCTGAATCAAGTCCTTATATTGCCATAAGGACGTCTCCTTCTCCCATGTTGCTTCGGAGTATGGTAGCCCCTTCCATTTGACAAAGTACTCCACATGCTTTGGTTGTCTTGGTCGCACCACGACACGCTTGGCTTCAATGCTCTCCACTTCTTTGTCAAATGCCTCCGTCATCAAAGGGGGTGCTCGATGAGACTCACCTCGGCTTGGCTCCTCATTGTCTGCATGATAAGGCTTCAAGTTGCTCACATGGAACACCGGGTGAAACTTGAGGCGGGGTGGGAGTTCCACAACATAAGCGGCTTTGCCAACCTTCTTGATGATAGGGAATGGTCCCTCATACTTCCGCAACAAGCTCTTGTGCAAGCCACGAGTACTCTTGTGCTGAGACGCATTGAGCTTCACAAAGACTTGGTCGCCAGTTTGGAACTCCACATTCCTTCGCTTACGATCCGCCCATTTCTTCATCTTCTTTGAAGCCTTCTCCAAATGAGCTCGAGCAAGTTCGTGGGCTAATTGCCACTCCTTAGCGGTTTTGAAAGCGGCTGGACTATTCCCCGTGTAGCCAGTCACGACCGTGTTCGGGGTCAAGGGTTGTTGCCCTATAGCCAACTCGAACGGACTTTTCCCCGTCGACTCCGAACGTTGCAAGTTATAAGAGAATTGGGCAACATCAAGTAACTTAGCCCAATCTCGTTGATTGGCACTAACATAGTGCCGCAAATAAGTCTCCAACAATGCGTTAACCCGCTTCGTTTGTCCATCAGTTTGGGGATGAAAAGCTGTGGAGAAGTCTAACTTTGAGCCAAGTAGCTTGAAGAGCTCCTTCCAAAATCTACCCGTGAAGCGAGCATCTCGATCGCTGACTATGCTCCTCGGAACACCCCAATACTTCACCACGTGCTTTAGAAACAAGCGTGCAGCTACTTCGGCTGTGCACTCCACGGGTGCGGGTATGAAAGTGGCATACTTGGTGAATCTATCAACCACGACGAAGATAGATCCACATCCATCAGACTTGGGCAAATGTGTGATGAAATCCATGGTCAAACACTCCCATGGTCTTGATGGGGTGGGAAGTGGTTCCAACAGTCCTCCCCGGTTGCCTTTGTTCCACTTTGTCTTGTTGGCACACAAGACAAGTCTTCACGTATGAATCTACATCATCCCGCATTTGTGGCCAATAATAAGCATCGCTCACCAAAGCCAACGTGCGGTGAGTGCCAGGATGTCCTGCCCACACATTGAGTCATGGCACTCCTTAAGGATTTCTTTCCTTAAGCTTCCCCACTTTGGGACGTAGATCCGCTTGCCCTTGGTGTATAGCAAGCTGTCCTCAAGCCAAAAACCTTCTTGTCTTCCCATCCTTGACAAACTCCACAATGTTCTTGGCTTGGACGTCATGTGACAAACCTTCTCGGACACGGCCCAAGAGATGGCTTTGCGGCTTGAGTACCGTAGCCATTAACTCTACTCGTCTACTTAGAGCATCGGCCACCACGTTCTCCTTTCCTTGCTTGTACTCTAGCTTGTAATCAAACTCCGCTAAGAACTCTTGCCACCTTGCTTGCTTAGGTGTGAGCTTTTGTTGGGTTTGAAAGTAGCTAGTGGCAACGTTGTCCGTCTTGATGACGAATGGGGTACCAAAGCAAGTAATGCCTCCAAACTCTAAGGCAATGGACGATGGCGGTCATCTCCTTTTCATGGGTCGTGTACCTCTTCTCGGCATTGTTTAGCTTGCGACTTTCATAGGCTATCGGATGTCCCTCTTGCATCAACACTCCTCCTATGGCAAAGTCGGAAGCATCAGTGTGCAACTCGAATGGCTTACTAAGGTCGGGCAACCTTAGTACAGGCTCCTCCATTAGGGCCTTCTTCAACCTCTCAAAGGCCTCTTGACACCGGTCCGTCCATTCCCATGCCTTGTTTTTCTTAAGAAGGTCTGTTAAGGGTGCCGCTATAGCTGAATACCCTTTTATGAATCTTCGATAGTAGTTGGCTAGCCCCAGAAAGGATCGTAGTGTTGGTACCTTGGTCGGCGGTTCCCACTCTTGAATGGCCTTGATCTTGCCCTTTTCCATCATAAGTTTCCCCTCTTTTATCTTGTGGCCAAGAAATTCTACTTCTTTTGTGGCAAAGGAGCATTTCTCCTTCTTGACATAGAGTTCATGCTCCCGAAGGGTCTTGAACACTATGCGCAAGTGCTTGACATGCTCTTCCAATGTCTTGCTATAGACAACGATATCATCAATGTAAACCACGACAAACTTGTCAAGATAAGGATGGAATACCTTGTTCATCAATGTACAGAATGTTGCAGGGGCATTGGTCAGACCAAATGGCATGACTTTATACTCGAACGCTCCATATCTGGTCACCATCGCCGTCTTCGATTCGTCTCCAGGGGCTATCCTCACTTGGTAGTATCCCGATTGAAGATCTAACTTTGTGAAGTACCTTGCTTCACCAAGTTGATCGAATAAGTCGGTGATCAACGGAAGTGGGTACTTGTTCTTGATGGTAATCTTGTTCAATGCTCTATAGTCGATGCACAACCTTAGGCTACCTTCTTTCTTGCGTTGGAACAAGACGGGTGCACCATATGGGGACTTGGAGGGTTGGATGTAGCCAGCATCAAGTAGCTCGTTGAGTTGCTTCCTCAATTCCTCCAACTCGGGTGGCGACATCCTATAAGGTGATTTGGAGGGAGGCTTAGCACCAGGCTCCAACTCAATCGCATGGTCGACCTCTCTCCTTGGTGGCAACTTCTTTGGCAGTTCCTTAGGCATCACGTCCGCAAACTCCATAAGGACGTCTTCCACTTGTTTTGGCAAAGGCTCGTACTTCTCCTCCCCTTCATTCAACATTAGGGTTGCAAGAAATGTGGGCCTCGCCTTTCTTCCAAGACTTGGCAAATTGAATTGCCGACAAGTGCTGGGTACACTTCTTGGCTTGCCTTTCCAATGGCACCAGGCAAGGTTGTCTTCCGTCGGCCAGGATACAGAAAATATTGTAGAAGGGAATGGGAAAGGCTCGTACCTTGTCCATGAACTCTAACCCAATGACTACGCCATAGTCGTCCATCTTGACTACGGTGAAGTCGATCGTTCCCTTCCATGTGCCAATGTCTACGTGCACATTACGCGCAACTCCAACAATGGGGGTGGCGGCGGAATTTACCGTCTTCACGCTACCAGGCTCCTTTGTGACTCGGAGGCCAAGCCTTGTGGCTTCCTCCGACGTCATGAAGTTGTGTGTTGCTCCCGTGTCCACCAACACACGCGTCGTCTTGTCACCAGTCTTGACGTCGACGAACAATGATCCTCCTCCAACTTGAGCCTTAGGTTGTGGGAGGGTTGTCTGGATGGCATTCAGTAGACGGATGCATCCCATCGTTGCATCGTTACTCTCCTCGGCCTTGTCTTCCTTGAAGGCCATGGCCTTAAGGGCCTTCTTTTGTGGGCAATCTCGCATCATGTGAGGGCCGTCGCATAGGTAACAAGTGGGTTGCCAAGACTTACCCTTGCCTTTGTCATGCTTATCGGCTTTCTTCTCCTTCGGTTTGCTTGTCTCGGCCTTGTCCTTCGGCTTATGTTCTCCCCCACTTCTCTCATGGTTACCCCTCTTCCCCGTGGACTTGGAATCACCTTGGTGGCTTGATTTAAACTCAATCAAGGATTCGGCAACGGCAATGGCATAAGACAATGTTTGCACGTGTCTCCTTTGTAGTTCGAGTTTTGCCCAATTTTGCAGTCCACTCATGAAGTACATGAGCTTGTCTTCCTCTAACATGTTGGGCACCTCGAATAACAAGCTCACGAAGGCGTTGACATAGTCTTTGACGCTCCCCGTTTGCTTGAGCCACCTTAGTTTCTCCTTGGCTTCGTACTTGGCATTTTGGGGATAGAAGTGCAACATAAGATCTTTCTTAAATTCATCCCAAGTGGTGAGAGAGAACGTACCTTGCTCAATCTCCATGCTCCGACGACGCCACCACATAAGGGCATTGTCAGCTAAGAACATGGTTGCCGTTGAGATTTTGGACTCGTCATCTTCAAGCTTCAGGTACTTGAAGTATCGCTCCACGTTCCACATGAATGTGTCGAGCTCCTTTGCTTCCCTCTTCCCATTATAGGATTTGGGTTTAAAGGAGTCGATTACCTTGGAGTCCAACGCCTTGATTTCCCTCGGCCCTTGCACGAATTGCTTCACAACTGCTTCTTTACAAAACGCCACATCTCCCTTAAGTTCCCTTGTGTCCTTTATCTCTTCTTGAAGCGCCACAAACCTTGCCTCTATGTTGTCAAGGTGAACCTGGACTTCCCTCCGCATCTTGTCTGCCATGGTGTTGAGAGCGCCAAGGAGCTCATCTCGTAGCCCTTCCACCAAGCCACGCAATTCATCCTTACCATTGTCCACCATGGTTTGGATTTCCTCCTTGCCGACAACGTCCTCATCAAGTCGAGTATCGAACTCGAGTATGGTTCGTTCCACCTTCTCGAGTCGCTCTTCCATGGTCTCCATCGATGCTTGCAAGTCCTTTAACTTTGGCTTGCTCTTGGCAACGTCTTGGACCTCGGCAGTACGCTCCCTTAGATCGGAGACTCCGGACACCATCTCTCCACTTGCCATATCCTACTTTCCTTCAAGTGATTCACGAGCTTGGCTCTGATACCAGCTGTCACGGGATGACTCTTTAAGCCTTCCGCCCGTGCGGCACTTAGACTTGAATACCTCGATGAACAAGCTAAGTAAGCCTTCGAAGCCTCGCTTCCCCGGATCGAATCACAAAAGAAAGCTAAGATTGCTTGGAGAATGCTAAGATCACTTAGAAGATGGGAGAAAGGAAGCTTTGTATTGAAAGTTAAGAGAACTTTACAATTGCTTACAATTCTTGGATGGTTTGGCCAAATGGCCTTACCTCCTATTTATAGGCCTAAGTCACCTCCTCAATGGAGGGTTCTAGAATCCCCTACTTACATCCAAAAATATCTAGCATAGCTCTAGATACAACTTGCCTAATCTAGATTATTCTAGGTGAGGCTTAAATATGTACACTTGTGTGGAATGTTCCGGAATGCCCTAAGATTATCTTGAATGCTCCGCCACGTTCTTGATTTCTCCGGGACGTTCCAAAAGCTTCCATGAAGACATGGCTTCATGGGCTTAGATATATGATGTCTTGGGCATTTTCTTTGTTTTTAACACATGGCCCGTGACACTAGGCACGACAACTCAACTATTTTTTGCCCCCTTCTGTTTTTCGAAGTGAACAAAAGACAGAAATTGATGCAACCATTCCAGTTCAAAAAGTGAGGACTTAAGTACAGGTTTACATCTCAGACACACTCATATATATGGTCTAACAGATGAGATACAAATCCTGTATCAGTTTGCATTAGTTTCCCTACGTATGCTCATGTGTTTATATACCTTAGCTTCCTTACAATGCTGAAACAGAATATAAAAGTTCAAAAAAAAAGAGAACAAGAATTATAACAGAATAATAAAAAACGGAAAGAGAAGGCAAATCAAATCCCAAAATACAAAGATTTTGGACTAACCTCGTTTAGCTCTGTCTGGTACTCCAGAATTCTCTCAGTGGGGATTCCTCTCAGCATTGAGACTAAGAATCCTGGCTTTAAAGCTGCATTGGATTCTACAAATATTGCTATCTTTCTGTAGTCTATAACATCTTCGAATGGAAGCTCAATGCTATCACTGATTATCACAGGCACACACAAACTAACTATAGAATCAAAAAGTCGACAGGCTGATGGAGTATCACCAGCCGGATTCAAACAGAACTTCGACGTATGCATCCCATGTGTAGCAGCCCGTCGACTCTCTCTGGATTGGGTTCCATGCTTTACTATAACATCCTCTTCATTTTCAAGTAATTGGAAAAGTAAATCACGTATCTTTCCGCCCTGCACAAACACGAAAAAAGCCCCAAATCATACATTAGCTCAGGCAGGCAGATAACTGATCCTAATAGCAAACATTTACCCCCATAAAGTTTCTTGATTCATAATTTCATATTCAAATCCGTAATTCACAGACACAGATGGCAAGCAGCAATCACACAATGCTTAATAAAAATGCAGCATTTCAAACATACCAACAAGATAGTTTATCATAATAACCAACAAAAATTATCAAGTTAAGAAATTTAGTATGAAATTGAAAATGTACGTCTTTTCGAAAGCGGTTTCCCATGAAGAACAATAGGGCGTTCCTATTCTCGACGCTGATGTCGCCCGTGTAAGTGTTGATGCGGTGAGAGTAAGGCACGATCACGTCCTTCACAAGCGATCCTTGGTCCTCCTTCAACCGCCCAAAATCGCAAACAAGCAGTACACAATTTTTGACTTTGTTAATCACTTTGTACAGAGCATTGGGGTCCGAAGCCATGATCACATGGTCTCGGCCATTGTTCCTCTTCCAGTACTCCTGCGATTCCAGCCACTCAATCAAGGCCACCTGATTCTCCTCGTCGCTGTACAACGGCTTCTCCGACCCGGAAGCCGGTCGCGCCGGGTTAACAATCAGGCTCAATGACGAGAAGAACGGCACGTAGAACAAGTCTGCCTCTTCGGGATCCAATGCCCTCTCAACGGGCGAACCGACCCGTTCCGATTCGGGTTTGAGCAGGTCCTGGAACAGGTACCACTCACCCATGTGCTGGTGACCCGGGTACTTGAGCTTCGAAACGTCGTCGTCGGGCCGGCCACCGCGAGCCAGCGAATGATGCTCGATAACTCCGTAAGTGAACCGCTTAGGGAGATCGTAGAGGTACACTTTAACGGGCTTTCCGGGTAAATTAAGCTGATTTTCCACGGTAGCAAACACGTCGGAGGAGATCGAATTGGACGCGACGGAGGAGAAGGAGGGGAAGGCGTTCTCGAGCTTGGAAGTGGCGGCGGGAGTGAGGAAGGTGTTGAGGAAGGCGTATAAGACGAGGACACCGACGATGGTGGCGAGGGATTGCTTGAGGAGCGAGGATTTTCGCGCCATTGAGAGGAACTGGGTTAGGGTTTTGCGGTGGAGGACATCGAGGGAGGTGGAAGAAGGGGCGGAGGGTTTGTTGGCTTTGCTGGATTGGAGTTCACTACTCATCATACCCGTTGTTTTGGGGACTCGGTGAGCTCTGCTAACGTGCGCCAGGTTGTGTACTGGGGGACAGGTTGGTTTCTCTGTGAAAAGAGTACTTAGAATTTGTTAATTGTTATCAGAATTGCATCCTTAAAATAGTGACGTAATTAATAACATGTGGGAATATTTATTTGAAAAATTTTATTTGAATCCACGTAACTTCTTTCCACACTTAATTTAAAATTTAAATGTTAATTATCTTTTTTTATCATATTGTATAATTACCATCAAATACAATATAAAATTAATAATAAAACTTAAATTTATCAATAAACCCACCCCTATAATTAAACCTATCATCACTCTTTATTCTACATTTATTCTGGCTAAAATCCTAATAACTCTTATAAAGAAAAACAAGTTTTTTATTTTATTATTATTATTATTATTATTATATCGATAGATGGTGATTTTGAAGTTTTGAATACTTCAACTAAAGTATAAATCAATTTGTGAAAAAAAAAATCGTTTGATTTCAATGTTTTAGAGTTTAGAAAATGAGTATTTGGGTTTCATTTTTTTTTCGTCAATTCAGGTTGCACATAGTTTGTCAAACTTTCTATGAGAAATAGTGCAGATGTTACAAAAGATGTTGCAGACACCAAATTTACTTGATACGAAATCATGTCTGCAACAAACGTAGTGAAAGTATTAATAATTTGTTGCAGACACCAAATTTTTTAGATACAAAACCCTTTCTATTGAAAGTAAAAGTATTAATAATTTGTTTGGCATGTTAGAAAGAAAAGACTGTTTCATTGGCATTACAATCTGTTGCCGTACTAGTTTGTCCTCCCATATGTGCTTGTTTGTGATACAGGGGACTCTGAAATGCAAAGTCGTTCGTCGGCTGAGGCAAGCATAAAATCGACAATGCAGCTCTTGGTCAAATTCTCTGCAGGCATTATACTGGATTCATGGAGTGAACTAACCGGTAAGTTCATTTTTCTCTTCTCACTTGTTCGTGATTTGAATGCACGTAAAGATTGTCATGACAAAATTTCACTTACTTGCTTATGACTCGAGTCATGTACATTCTCTATGATTCTCCTAATTCACCCGTGCAAGCTGCTAATGATTTCAACTCTTCTTCACACATCTCATCTTGTAGCACAGCTAATCTTCCTAGACCAACTTTGTGAGATCTCTCCTTATCTTCCAAGACGCTTTCTGGAACCCCATGTTCCATACGCCATTCTTCGTTCGATAGACAGCCAGTATTACGAAAACTCTCCATCAATGCCGCTTGCATTACTAAGTGCTTCACCCCGCCATTCACCTGCTGCATCGCTCTCACATTCTTCTCCTGGAGTGCGATATCCCCATGGCGACTCCACGCTGTATGGTTCAAGTTATTTCAAAGGATCGTCATCCCATGGCCAGGTGTATGATACTACAAACCCTGTCCACTACCGAGGTTCGCTGCATCGCTTTAGATTACAGCTCAAGCTCTAGTAAAATCTGTTGGAATTTATTAGGTTTATTTAGGAAATTAATTAAGATTTGATTTGATTTTGTAGTAGGGTATTTTTGGCATTTAAGCATTAGGGTTTCTTAGGTTTATTGCTCTATAAATAGATCTTGTAATTTAGTTTGAGAATAAGTTAGTCACAATGTAGTCTCTAGGGTTTTTGTAGCCGTCTCGGCATTCTCAGTTTGTTCAATAAAATTCTTATTATTTTATAGTCTTATTTGTTCCGCACTCTGATATTCAACTTGGTATCAGAGCAGGTTTGATCCTTTGGGATTTAATCTGCCCTTGATTCGTATCAGTTTGTTTGTCCGTCTTGTTCGTTGTTTAGATTGTTGTTGGTCTAGTTTGTTTTTTTTTTTTTTTAAAAAAAAAAAAAAAAAAAAAAGGTGGAATCTGCCATCACCTCCGCTGCGCCTACCCCATCTGGATCTGCAGAACCATCCACCCACCATGTGCTTGAACTCGCACGGTACCCGAACTCAATTCCTATGAGTTGGATCTGTCGCAACTCGTATGGAGTCATTCTGCAATTGCATTGGAGTTGTTCTGTTGGCTGCAATCCATTTTCTTTCCCTCGACTTGGTTGCTGCATAAAGAAAGCAGAAGTAAAAAAAAAAAAAAAAGGTTAGGTTTTTTAGGCCCATGCGGGCAAAAGAGAAAAAAAAAAAATTGTTGGATTTTTTTTTTTGTTTGTTTGGCATCGGCATCGGCATCGACATTTGCACTGGCACTGGCATTGGAAATCTTGCACTGGCACTAGCATGGAAATCTGGCAATCTTGGCACTGGCACTGGCATTGGAATCTTGCACTGGCACTGGCGGCATTGAAATCTTGCACTTGCACCGATGGAATTTTGTATTGAATTGAATTTGGCATCGGAAGTTAGCATAACAAAGCTTGCATCCACATCGTCTGTTGGCAAACTCATGTCGTATACTGCCATGAGTTTGACGGGGGGGTGTTGGAATTTATTAGGTTTATTTAGGAAATTAATTAAGATTTGATTTGATTTTGTAGTAGGGTATTTTTGGCATTTAAGCATTAGGGTTTCTTAGGTTTATTGCTCTATAAATAGAGCTTGTAATTTACTTTGAGAATAAGTTAGTCACAATGTAGTCTCTAGGGTTTTTGTAGCCGTCTCGGCATTCTCAGTTTGTTCAATAAAATTCTTATTATTTTATAGTCTTATTTGTTTCGCACTCTGATATTCAACTAAATCAAGTTTGTGGAAGGCTCAACTTCAGGGAGTACCGGCCCCAGTCCACTACCGAGGTTCGCTGTCTCAAGATCCGCTCCAATATCCTACAAGTAAGAGCCGAAGAGAAAACGAGTTAAAGGGTAAAAGGGATGGTAATTTGTCTACTGTGTAATTCTGTCAGTGCCTAAGATAGAGAGAGATGGGCGGCTAGTTCATGCAAATTTTGACAAATTGTACATCTTTATATATTTTGTTTCTGTATAAAAATTCCCAATAATATTAAGACAGAAATAAAATTTAATCCTATGTAAGTCAATACTCGACGTTGGGGCTTCTTTATTCTAGGAAAATGATTTTCGCACAAAGAAACGAGAATGCGGGGTGAAAAAATGGTGTGCAAAATTCACTTTTCTTATTTAACTCGACCGGAAAAAACCAAAAATGTTGGAAACATCTCTTTCATCACCCTGGAACTCAGCTCTCCTACAAACCCTGTACACTACTCTATCTGAAACAAAAAGCGGAGACACGATCACGGCGAGCACACGGAGTGGACATCCCGAAGTCCGGGCGACCAGAGTAAACATTCGTCGTTATTTACTATGATTTCAAGTTCTGTTTAGTTGAAGAAAAACAAAACCAAGTAACAAAGATTTGCATTGACACTATGGATAGCAGCAGCTTCCACAGAGAGTCAACCTTGTAAACATTACATATTATTGACACGATTTTGTATAAAACAAGTGGAGGCACATGATTCTTGATGCCATAGCTGATTAACTTAGTACAACAACAACAACGAAGCCTTTTCCTACTAAGTGAGATCGGCTATATGAATCCTAAAATGCCATTGGATGAAGAGAAATTATATGTGAATTGGAAAGAACACCTTAAACTAAATAATTAAGCACTGATAAGACGAGGCAACAACATTACCTGAGAGTTTCTTTTGTTCCACGTCTAATTTTGCAACGTATTGTGGGGAGCCCAAGGCGCTGGTGAGCCTCGTAGCGATGACAACCAGAGAAACCTACCAAAACATGACCAAATCGTCAGCTATGATCATGAAAAACATGTGCGTGCAGTTATAGTATTCTGATACAAAAAAATTGGGTCCTGAACGGAGTCCAGTGATTTGTAAGGAAGAATCATAGCTTAGAGAATAGTGAGAAGCACGTACCATAATAAACTCCATCAACCTCAAGCACATCAATCTGCATTAGCAAGTCAAGTCAGACAGAAAGCATACGATCCAGGAATTGAATGCAGATTTTGCAATAAACTTTAAAGTTTGACATGTTTTGACATTGCAAGCATGAAATCCATACTTTCACTCTGCGTAAAAAAGTATACACATTTAAACATCAAGGCAAAAACATAAAGGCATAACCAAAAGTTTTTCACAGCTTTTAAGCTGAATCTTTAATGCTCAAAAGTCATCTAGCGAGAGATGATCGAAGCATCAAGACGTAATAACGACATACAAAAGCTTAAGCTACCCATGGCCTTATTCCACATGTTAACTTACCATTACATATTCAGATGTATTCTTTATAGAAAGCCTAATTGAATAAGCCTACTATATTTCCAACAAAAAAACCTGGAAAATTAGTGTCCAAATTATATGTTCTATTTGGTTTTCTCCTACGAAATACTGTGATTCCTGAGTTTCTTGTCAAATAAAATAGCAGAAATAAATGTAGTTCCTAAGAGAAACTGGAAAGGAAGAAGGCAATCTAAGACTCGTAAATCATAGCAACAATATTCTACCAACCTTGACCAGAATCTTTCAAGTTAAGACAACCTTCATACTCCCTCATGTTTTAGTATGGTTTGGTTCCAACACCAGCTTCAGAGTCGATAACAAGAAACAAATGAGTCACGAAGATTTACTCTTTCGAGAAACTGAAAACTTGCATTAATCAGCGTGAGGCGTACTATACAATTTCTCACTTGCCCCACGTTATCCTCAATTTCATTCGTTGTTAACTATAAAATCCATACTTGATCGAGCGGACAGTTAAATAACAATCGTAAGTGCACATAACAATACTGATATCATCTCAACAAGTCCATTTTCTATGTCTAAGAACAAGCATTGCATTGCATAACACAATTAACAGAACATAGCCTGATATTTAAAATTTGAGAAGGAAAATTGAGCAGCTTTGGGTGCCATTGGATGATTTTAGAAAGAAGACAGAAGAAATTTGAAGGCAGGAAGCAAGAAAGAGCAAGATAATTCTGGAAATTTTGGGGTTCTGGAAATTCGAAGGATTGGAATGGCTAAGGTATTGGCCGAAAGGATTAAGTGAAGATTATATAGTAAAGCAATTATAGTTAATGTTGGAAATTATGGGTTAGTGCAAAGGTTTTGTTAACAACGGTTGTTTTAAATAGTGCAAGTACCGAGTAAAAGCATGCGGTGGTTGTTTAATTATTATTAATGTCTCGGTTTGCAGACTTAACAAATGATTAAAGGGGGCACTGTTTGGGTTGATAATTAGCAGTGGGCTTTGCAAATATTTAAAGCCCAAAGGTGCTAGAAGAAGTGGAGTTTTGCCCGAAGCCCAATAGACCAAATGAGACAAAGTGGTGCCTCTTCCATTAATGCTTAGGCCACATGCCTAAGGATGAAGTGACAAGTGATAGAGACTAACTCACAATCAGCCAAAAAACACGTTCTAGTGGCAGTACATGTAAAAAAGATGATGACACACTGCCCTTGAAGAGCTTTCGGGCAAGAGCAAAGCCCTGACCTTCGGGCCAAATCGCTTATAAAAGGAAGAAGAGAAAACAGAGATAATGACACTCAACCAATCAAACAAACAAACATACAAACTCTGCTCTCAAGCCTGAAATCAACCCAGATTTTGTCTTTTTAGCAATAGTTTCCTTAGAAAAGCTATATTTTGTCTAGTTTAAAAGCTTTGCTACCAACCCTAATGATGTAGTATCAATTCTCTTGTGTAAACCTGTTTACCATCCATCCTTTTTGGTCTATAACCTCTGTAAAACCAAAGAGAAGTGGCTGCAAAAAGTTCAACCGTACCTGACAAGGTGAAATCTTGCCTATGTCTCTTTGTTTGTTCTTTAATTTGGTAGATCTGTTATCTAGATGTACTCCCCATCATATATCCAAGTTATTTCTAGTTATTTGGTAATTAAGAGTCCCATTTGCACCTAGATCTGGTTAACTTAGTAAATCTGTTTTCACTAAGAGCAACTTGGAATCAAGCAAATAACTTAAAGGGATTTAGACTCCCTCCATTTGAGAGCATACAAGATCATGAACTAAAAGTCTTTGTTTACAAGGCAAGAAAAGAACCTAATGTAGACTTAACCCATCCACGACAATCCTTTGGCAACAAGAAGTTTGAGTAACTTGAGACACAAGTAATCAACTTAAACCAAATATGTTTTACATTTGTTATAACTGAGATAACAGTGGCACGTCAAGCACCTTGTTAGTTTTGATTGCGAGCCTCAAGGACTACACCTAAGGCCCTACAAAGGTACCTTTCAAAACTAACTTCATATTCTTCTTGTAGCATACCAAGCAGCGATGAGACCCCAACATTCACATCACCAAGCACACCAAGCAGCGATGAGACCCTAACATTCACATCACCAAGTGCTAAACCACGCTAGGGGAGCTGTGCAAAGGGCAGAGATCTTTTTGCCCGGAACACATAGTAAAACTGGTTTGATCTCACGTTCATATTCATAGCATACCTTTTGAGTCTGGAACTACCAGTTGAACTTATTGGGGGCGTTTGTTGCGCCAGACTATCTCGGACTGGACTAGCTTCAAGGACTAAGTTGGACTGGCTTAGACTAGATTAAACTGGACTAACTTAGTAAAGCATTTGGTGCAGTGTTGGACTAAGAAGCTGGATAATAACAAATTCTAATATTATATTATTTAATATATAAATTATTAATATTTTATTATGATCTAGATGACCGGAGATGACGAGGGGTCTATCGGTAGTGGTTGTTGAGCATGACGAGAACGAGAGAGGATAGTCTTAGCTAGTCCCATATTTATTGGGGGTCTCGCTAAGACCTCTTAGTGAAGGGTTTTGTCCATGCTAGTCCCCTTTAGTCTCATTAATGTTAGTCCCAGCATGGAACAAACACAGTGTTGGACTAACAGCTAGTCCAGTCCAGTCCAGTCCCACTTAGTGAGGCAAACAAACGCCCCCATTGAGTTTTAACCCAAGCAAGAAAGTGGCAATAATCTTATTTTTCATCTTTGTTGATTTTATCTCTTATTTTTTTTCAAAATTTCATAGAAAAAACATATCACTATCATTGCTGTTGAATTTGCAACGTTATTTACTTTGCAGTTTGCACTGAAAATTTGAAATGGGTAAAAGCTGAATGGAAATTTAGTACGGTTAAAACAATGATATCTTATCAAAGTTTTCCGTCTTGTTTGCAGATTTAACAAGATCATAGCAAAGGAAATCCCATCAAGCATTGTATACGAGGATGATATGGTCCTTGCATTTCGTGATATCATCCGCAGGCTCCTGTTCATGTTTTAGTCATCCCAAAGTTTAGGGATGGGTTAACCGGGCTGGGAAAGGTAATTTCTGGACCTTTTTTTTCCCATCATACATGCCTTTTCTTCCATCAACAATCCCAAAGTTTAGGAATGTGAGAGAGAGAGAAGGTTCCCGGGGTAGGGGACAGAAAGAGAGAAAAATGAGGATTGTTGGGGTGCTGCCACGTGGCAGCTTGAGAATGAAGAGAATCAAATTTTCAGATCATGACTGGGTAAGAAAACTAAGGACTAAATTGATAGTTCCATTAATATTTTGGGGATAATTACAAAATTATTTTTTATAAGTAGGGGTGAGTGTAACAACAATATCGAGAGTATTTCGTTAAAACTCCCTAATATTAAAGGTAAAGATTTGGTCAGGTTCAATGAAGGAGCTTGATTAGCGGTGACATGGTAATAGTATAAGATCAAGTTTAGGGTTTACGGTTTAGCTTATAGTATAAGCGTGCTCCTTAACAATACAAATAAAACGACCAAGTGATTGTTTTCATACTGCGTTGTTAATTTAAGTGTTATAGTATGATAAAGTTGATACAATCAACGTCGTCGCGACCATTACCTTAAAAAGATTTGTACTAAACGAAGGCTCGTGATCCAAGGTTTTCTAATTAGGATGAGCTTGCCAATTGAGCCCAAGGCTATCCTCTTCACACATGCCTTGCCCAAGATCAAGATTTGCTATATATACATGCATTGTAACATAAGTGAATTGGTAAAATCAATGACAGTTTGACAGCCACGTAAAGTATTTGTCCTAAACAAAAGCTTGTGATCCAAGATTTCCTAATTGTGTCGAGCTTGCCACAAGGATACTCCTTCACACAGGCCTTGCCAAAGGTTGCCACAAGGTTTTTTCGATCAAAGCCCAAAACCAAGGTGACTTTCTCATCAACATGCATATAAATACCTTAACACCTTTGGGTGTAACTTATGATTACTTCTGCTTGTTCAAAATGCGGGCAAACAAATCAAGATCAAAACAAGTTAGTACATTGAATTCTTTGATATCATCGTAGAGACTAAATAATGTAAATATTGTAACCAGAGCCCCAATAATATTAAATGTATGTAGGATATTAGTAATCACTCATCCTCATTGCTCATCATCAATATTCATGATAAATTGACAAAAACCAACGTCATCTTTTGCTAGAAATTCAAAAGTAAATTAGAAATGTGGAACCCCAAATCCATAACATAAAGGGACACTGATCAGATAATATTCTTAACAAGTCATATTTATATCCTTTTTTTACGCATGCCAGAGCTAGCTTCCCTTCTCATAAACTGTTACTCTGCAAAACAACAAAACTAATAAGATTCAGATAAAATTAATACCATAGTTGTAAATAGGAACATGTTGGTATAAAGAAGTAAAAAGAATAGTTAATTAGGCTGCATGTATATTATATAGCAATATAACTTAACACTGTGTCTTTGTGTGATCGTGATCATATAATATATAAAACTGCTGCATACATACCGTACATAGAAGGGCCGCTCAGATTGAAATCGAGAAGGCCAGGATGATGATGATCAGGCTGGTGAGGGTAAGGGTTGAACTGCGGCTGAGGCTGCAAAGTAGCAAGCTGAAGCACACTACTTGGTTGTTCTTCACCTCCAAATGGGAATTGATCGAGCACATGTCGATGCTCTTCAGATTTCGGCAGCATCTCCAGATTCTCCACCTGCTCATGAGCCTCAAGATGCGCCTGATCATGACCAAATGCTGCAGCCTGATGCGCCTTAATCTAAGTTTCCATAAGAACGTACGCAACATGCATAACTATTATATTTGATAAACTGATCAAATTAACTGCATGCTAGCAATGAATTCGGGTGTAAAATGAATCTTATATATATGGAGAGCTTTAGGTTATGTATATATTGATTCAGGGATATTTCAGTAATTTAAAAGTTAGATAGAACCCTGCATATACTCACCAGATGGAATAGTTGCTCATTTTCTTCCTCCAGTCTTTTGGTCTAAGTTTCATGACAAAGCAACCCATCATTTCAGATCATTCACCAAAAAGTTAATATATTGCTAGCGATCATGGGTTTAAAAATTTACCGTTGCAAGAAGATTGTCTGTCTGCTGTTGCAAGACCTCAAACTGTACACCAATTTTCCAATTAATTAGTTATTTGAAAAAGAAAAAAAACCAAGAAATATTTGAACACAAAAGGTTAGGTAATTAGAACACGGGATTCTTTAGTATGTTACAGAGAATCATATACACCAAACTTTTGTTTGTCAAATCATTGGTCAAGAATTCACTTATCAATATCTACTGGTAATTAAAAGTCTTGGTTTATTGGATGCACACGAGCATAGTAGAATTTTTGTTATTTGTTAATAGACATCCTAATGTGACCATGTTACAAATCATACAGTACCAAAGTTATACGTGTAACACTGAAATATAGTTAACTAAAGGGCATACATATATAACATCAATATAAAGATAGGATAGTGCTATTTACACACTTATTTTTACCTCTCTCACACTCTTATTAATTTTAGTCATTGATCTTCTTCAATTCATTTTATCCGATGGTAGAAAATTGGGAAGGTTATGCGAGAAGTAAAAATAGGTGTGTTGATAGCACTCCCGTAAAGATATTGTAATTAGGAGACAGTGGAAGATTACCTTCCTAGCTCGAACCCTGTTAACAGACTCCTCCAGCTGGTGTTCAAGCTCCACCAGATCATCAAATCGAACGCAGCGTAAATCCTCGCCCGTGTAGCGTTGCAAACTCAATTCCAGATGCTGAGTTTCTCTCCTCATTTTTCTCAACTCAGCATTCATATATTCCTTCATTCAAAAATTACAAGGTATGTCACACTTAATTCTCAGAACATAAGTACTTAAAGTAACCATATTGGTTTTGAATTCAAATTCAGTACATAATCATCGAGGGCATATACCGTGTCGTTGTGTTGCGGTACTCGAATCCCTTTTGTAACCTGGTATCTTTGAATAAGCTCCTCCATGCTATAAAACATACAAACAAAACCATGCAGTTCATGATATATACTGATTATTATAAATTTAATTTCCAAAGTTGCATCATGTATAACTTTATTAGACGTGTAGCATTGTAATTGATAGGCATATGTATGTTACATAATTAATTTACATTTCACTCAGTAAAGATCTGGAAAAATAATTCACCATAACGTTTCATGCAAAGCACTGTTATAACGATCTAGCAGGTCCAATTACAAGAGAACAAATGTAGCACTATAATATTTTTTTTTTTAACTCAGAGAAACTTCAACTCTATAACGAATATAAAAAATCTGATTTACCCAAAATTCAAAAGGGAGAAACGATCAAGTGAAAATAAAGAGTAAGATCACTGTAGAAACTGTAGTAGGAAGACATAGTCTGTGGCAGAAATAATTATTGACTGTGAATTATTTATTTCTTACTATTTGTTTTTGCTGACATAGTTAATCATGAGTGCCTCAGTGAGAAATTAATAGGTTAGGAAAACCCTAGGTATGCAGATCTGACCAAATAGCAAGTAGATATACTCAATTGGTCAAATCATTTAAATTTGATGAGGCTAATGAGCCAAAACTGAAAAGCAAACCATAGTGTGTAAAGATCAACCTGTGGTGCTCAGAAAAAGAAATTAAAGGAAAAATAAATAACTTACACAGTGGGAGAGAGAGGCAGACCATGTACAAGAACACTGTAGAAAAAACGAAAACCCAAATGGCAACAATAACAATAAAACACATAGATCACTGAAAAGAAAAACGAAAGGAGAGAGGAGTTGAGTGATTTGAAAAAAAAGCGAACCCAGAAATCAAAATATGATCTGCTGTAAAAAGAAAGAGAAACATTAATCAAACTTGTGTAACCATTAATCTCCAAACTGGAAAAATATACACAAATTATGCAACCAGATCATGATAAAACCCATCTGGCAAACACATCAGAATAAAGAAAAAATAAAACAAACCCAAAAAAAACACCAAGAAAGCAAGAAAATATAAAACATATAAAAAGTAGGAGGGCCAGCTAGTTCATCACCTTGATGACTCACTGCAGTACTGAAACATCTTGCCAGTGCTTGAGAAAATGACAAGGCCGATCTGGGCATCACATAGCACAGAAAGCTCATGAGTCTTCTTGATCAGCCCTGCCCGCCGTTTCGCAAAAGTCACTTGCCTTGTGGTTCGGTTTTCTATCCTCGAAATAGTTATCTTGCCCCTTCCCATATTTATGTAGGTTTTCTTCTTTAGTTTGTAGGAAAAGCTAGAAGAAATTGATGGAACTCTGACTCCACCAGTGCTCAAATTCCTGATTTAGATCAAGACCCAATAAACCCAACAATTAGCTAGTTCAAAAAATACATACTTGAGCATAAAAAAGCATGTATATGCGGATTATATATGGGAAAAATGGTTTAATTATTAGTATGCTATAAGTACTAAAGGGTTCTTGTTTTTGTTAGATGAAAATAAATGATGAGTGAGAGTTGTACCCAATAAAATTCTTAAACGAAAGAGTGCTACAATAAACAAAAGAAGTGTGATCAGAAGTAGGAACCTGGTTTTCTAAAAACCCTAATGACGACATATGTAGAAGAGAGAGAGAGAGGGAGAGAAAGAGGGAGGGAGAGAGGGAGAGAGAGAGAGAGGCAGAAGGAGGACTTTGGAAGCAAAGGACTTAGAGGGATTGCTGCTTTACCTCTGCTTTCTCTCTTTGCCTGTTGGGTTTCAAGTTTGGCAAGATGAACTGTGGCGAATGAATTTGTAGAGACACTATATTTGGTTACAACTTAGCTTGGCAATTGGTCCATCTTTCCAAATTATATTACCAAAATGTCTCCTTAACTTGAAAATTCAAATCAATATGTCCATGAGAATTGTTATTGGCACTCCAAAATTCTCATTCTACATTCCAAACTTTCTATATTTAGAAAGAAAAATACCCTTGTGAGGAGTGTATAATGATATTTTTGAAGTATCAATAATACTTCCCATATCCAAAATGCCTTCTTAATGACCTCCTCCCTCTAATCCTCCTCCTTTCCTCCCGTCTCACCTGCCCCCTTCCCCCCCCTTCCCCCCTTCCCCTCATCGTTTCAAGTATTTCCGTTTATATATGTCTTTGTTTTTCGAGTTTTTTCTGCACTATTTATAAATAATTCTTCATCTTTTTTACATTGTTGATTACCTGTTCATAATTTTTTTTTTCCAAAAGAATAACAATTAATCACATTGATATTCATCTTGGTCACTTTTAATACGTGTCCTAGGACGCAGAGAAGTCCTCGATTGCTCCTAGTTGTGGTGAAGCTACAGAGGAGCAAAGAGGGGCGACCGCCCCTCCTCTCGACGGAAATCAAGCCTAGGAGTAGTGGTTGCGCTCCTCTGGTTCCGTCGGAAGTAAGCAATCCCGTTTGGTTCTCTAGGCAAAGAAAAAAAAAATTAGTAGAACGGTGCGTTTTGGTTTCTAATAAAAGGTGTGATAGCAGGGACCATGCATTGTTTTGTCGTTTAGTAGCACGTGATCGTCGAAGCCTTAGCATTAACATCCTTCTATTCTTCTTTCTCGTGGGATTTTTGAATGATTTCAAAGTTGGATTTTTCCTAATAATTTCGATATGGAATTGGAACTATGCATGCTAGTCAGATAAATATTGGTTTACGCTTTAGTAGGTAAAATATTTTTTTTCAATAAACAATTGCGCATCATCAATATGTTTATACTAACACATTCGACGTACTTATGCACCCATTACATATGTATAATCGACCAAACCACATCTATGTACCCAATTATTAAATTCGTCATAGAGTACAAGAATTTCATTTTATTTTCACTAGTTCATCATAGTGTGGCAGTTTGTAATTAATATTAATAAATTATGAACGTCGTCATTATTGTCTACCATCTAAAAGGATTTGGTTGTTTACATTGTTTTTTAACATTGCACCCATTTAAATCCGCCCCGTCTCCCACCAATTCCTGGCTTCGCCATTGTGTATACTGGTAAATTTTAACGCTTACATGTTAAAAATGTAGGTTTGGGAGCACATGGAATTGCAGATATGCAAAGTGGTCCATGGTCTGTAATCTTAATGCCTAATCAGTACGCGAAGATCTCCCAATATTCATGCATGCTACACGGATGTAAGCTTTGAATTATTGGGGTATATATGTCATTTCAAGAGAACCCTACAAAGTTTTGGTGTCTTATTGCATGCAGCGACTGTTAACCACCCTGCCCTTTTGTCTGCAAACCCACCTCTCTGGATTTTGCTAAATTTGGAAAGCTTTTTAAAGTTGTGAGAGCCAACCAAGCTTCCTCGAAAATGAAACGAATGTATGTGCATATTGAGTTTTAGATAAGTGCATTATTGATTAGTGTTAATAATGTACTCGGCTTAGTCATTAAGCATCATATATATGAAACTTCTGCTTGCTAACCCAACGCACCATTAATCTGCAATTAACCCTTTGAAGTCATCAGTCACCTTTTCTTTGGCACGTATAAGTGAGTCACAACTTTGATGAATTATATGAAGTTGTTCTAATTTTTTGTTTTGCACACCTATATGCCTATTAAGGGGACTAGTTGGTGGTTTCGTCACGACTTTACCCTTCCGAGAGCCGAGAAGACTTATATAGGCATTTTAGCCTCTTTCTGTCCAACATCGTGTGATTTACCAATGCCAGGAATTGAACCCAGGACCTGCCGTGTGGAATACAGACCTGAAATACGTCCCTATTATATATAAAATGCTGACAGGGCAAATAATTAGATATTTTATCCCATGAATTTTTTAGTGTGATGCTCACATTGATGTGGTGTTACTATTCTGCTTGTGTTACACGTACTAATATTATATAATAGGTTTATTAAATATCAACTATATCGTTCACTTTTTACCAAAAAAAATATATCATTAACTTATTACACGTAAATCAGTAATACCACATTTGTGAGATAGTAACACTCAAAATTATATATTAAAGTCGCTAGATTAAAATGTTCAAATCTTTTGAGAAGGAAAAATAGAGAGTACTAGATAAAATGTTCCATTGATTTTATGTCACTCTAGTATGCCCCTTGTTATAAAATGTTATGAAAATAATGCATCTACTAGTTAATTTGTGTGTGGGTGAGATAGAGAGAGAGAGAGGTTGTAATTAAAGTCGTAATTGGGATGTGAATTTCAATACCTTTTTACATATGTGACAGCAAAGTAACACTAGTCATAAACTACCTATTTAGGATTCAGCTGGGAAGAAAAGCAAGTGTCAATAAAACGATGTTGGTTGGTCCCAAACCCCGCCGCCCCTCCTCCACCCACTCCCCACCCTCCTCACCCTCCTCATGAACCTCCTCCCCCGAAATATATTACACCCTGCAATGAGAATATAATCATTTTTCTTCTGTAATAAATTGATGTGCAGGGACAGGGAGGTCAGTTTATGGAGTCCACCTTCATTGCTCAAAATGTGACCGTCGGATCAGAGCCATATACAGAAAGAAGAATTAAGAATGTCGTTTTCCTAAAATGGAACTGAGTTTTACGTCCCCTTCATCATTGATATTTTTGTCTGAGATTCAGTCCTCACAGACTCACATGGACTTTCGCAGGCTCAAATATTAAACAAATTAAGTTTAATTATTTGTCATCTACGTGCATGCATGTGGAATTTTGACTGGAATTATTTTCACATATACAAAATTTTGTTGCGGCCATACAAGACCAACAGTTAACACCTCCTGAAAAGTCATGTGAACACATGTAATAGAGGTCAACAACATTACTAATTAATATTGTAATTAGGTTTGTCCATAAAAATAAAACTAAACATCCTACAAAACTGAATGAACTAATTAAAAAAGCAAAATAGAGCCGGTAAAAGAATCAAGGGGGTAAGAGCTTCAATAAAGTATGAAATGAGAGACGTAGATTATACGTAACTTAATTTGGGGTTCTTGATTTGGGTTTTCGATCTTGTGGTCTTAGGCTTTGAATCATTTATGTGGTGTTTTGGGACTTCACCTGCTCTTAGGTTAAAAGAATGCATGATTAATTGTTTATCTTTCAAATTGATCGTTTCTCTGTAAAGTTGTTTTAATTGATGTTGGGCTTGTTTGGAAGTGTTCTAAAATAAGCGTTTTGGTGAATTTTTTTTTGGGTTTCAAAAGCACTTAAAGTGCACCATGTAAGATACACCAGTTATGTGCTTCTTGTAGTAATCACTTAAAATATTTTTTCAGGATAAAAAACCTGCAGCTGGTAGATTCTTCTTATGTGTAAATCAACTGGATCTCATTCACTCGACATTAGTCATTGCATGCGTCCATTGCATGTATATAGCATGGTGAGTACAAATAAAATTTTGTTGATATTTTCTCGTCATCCCATCGATCGTAAGAAATAACAATAAAATAATGAAGAAAATCAATAGATCAGCAGCCTATAACATTAAAATATATGTTACGTACATTGCCTTGAATTGGACACATCAGAGAGGGCATACGATTAGTTGCATTTATATATATACAAATATATACAAACTACTCCATAATTAGCTTACTTGTTTGATATTTTCTTCTTCAGTCTTCAGGAGCAGCCAGTTACAGGTATTATCATCATCTTCAGTCTTCAGGAGCGGCCAGATGCAGGTATCATCATCATCATCCTCATCATCAATACCGTCCCTTGTTCTTCTTTCTTCTTCTTCTTCTTCTTGTGTAAAAGTTAGATTCATATCCTTAGATAATTTGTAGATCAAAATATGATGCAAGATTGAAATCAATGGTTAACAGCCAGCATGTTCTACTTCTTCTTGGTGTGAAATTCAGATTCACGTGATAAGTAGAAGTTTGGATCAAAACATGATGTAAGCTTGAAAATGGATTTTAGTCCTTTGATTGTATGTCCATGTTAGCATCTATGTTCCAACTCAATCTTTTTCTCTCCATGGTTTATGGTTTTCATTTTATTACCTAATATACCCACATGTTCAAAATGGCTTGTTTATTATTTTTTTCCCAAAATTTTAGGAATTTATCATTTTGCTAGTTTTCATATTAATTCCTTTACGAGGCTGTTTATCAGATTAATTCTCCAATAATATACAACATTTATTTTTCTCCACCTAGTTCTTAAGAACCTTTCAACCAAGACACGAGGTAGTAGATAACGGTCGATATATAAAAGATAAATATAGTAAACTGCAGCAGTTGCCTCCAAATAGTAGCATAGATGTCTTAAAGGTCGTCAACTCTTGAAAAACTTTCCCTATACACTGAGAGTCTCAATATTGGCTTGTTCAGAAATGACCTAGAACAAGACAATGATTGGTACTGTATGTTCACATGGGGTAAGGTTGGTGTAGGACACCCTATGGCTGTGTACAAGTAATACGATTGTGAGTACCCTATGGCTGTGTAGGGATACTCTATTGGTGTAGGATACCCTATGGAAATTTTAGTAGTGAGTATAAAATTGTGTTTTCTTCTTCCTTTTTCTTTTCTTTGATTCACGAAGGGAATCGAACTCAAGATGATTTATCCATACATATGTACTAAGATGGCTATGGTGTTGCACCAATGTTAATATTGTTGGAAAACCAGGAGTATATATAATATTAACAATTTTCCTAGATTACTAACAAATGTTAACATGATACCTAAGGCAGCCATTGCAGAACAAGAAAAAAGATATCTTCTACTCATTGAAAGACTTAATATTCTTAAGTGATGGAACCCAATAAATAATTAACGCAAAATTTTTCTTTACGAGTAGAGAGTCCTTATATAGATCAACACTCACCAACTTCCCTCTATCATGGAGAGTTGGTTTTTGTCAGCTAACAACAGTTTCATCAAATAAGTGGGATGTAAGTTATCTCCACAATTGTTATCCTTATTTCCTTAATAATAGGAATCAATTTTTTCCACATTTGCAACTTACGTCAAACTGTATTTTTACCAAATACATTTCGTTCTTCACTAAATGATAGTTTAGTCCAATTAAGTTTCTAACATTCTGCTACTTGGATGTAAACTAATCATTTAATCGAAATGTTATCACAATTACAATATTGACTCCTTAGTGATCACATCCAGTTACACGTAACTTGCTTCCCACATCTACCAGTATCAGTTCAAATGTCGAACTCTAGGAAACCATGTACAACTCATTGGCACATGCACTATAAAATCACTGTGATTTGAATCTAATCTGTATGATGTCAAACTTTCAATGAACTTAACATTCATTTTTCTATGAATCAATTCAATCAACTTTATGGATCATCTTTGGATAATCACAGTTCCCTTTACTGAATTGAAAATCATATACCACTTTGTGATATATAAGCTATATAACTCAGAATAATCATAAAGATTCAGCACATGCATATTTATTACTGCAACTCAATCTTAAACCATCACTTCATAATTGTAATGGCGTACTGACAACCATGCAAATACATATAAATACACATTCATACATGCAATTCATATAAGAGTTTCTTACTCCCACTTTTCACCATATTCCAAAGATTTGTGCACCAAGTTCACAGCACCAAAGCTAGTGTTTCTTTTGAGCCTGCCTTCCTCCTGAGCACATATGGAAATTAGTTCGTCCAGTGACCATTTTTCCTTCTGTGTGTTGTAAGTGATCTTCAGTTGATCAAATGATTGAGGTAGAGAAGTTAATGCCATATGAACAACAAAAGCATCATCAATCGAGACCCCCAAGTCCTTCAATGTTGTTGCAGTGTCAACAAGCTTCAGAACGTATGTGCTCCCTTACACCTTTGCCTTCATCAAATTTCATTTCGGCTTTCTCGGACTTTTTGAACTTTGCTCCAATTGAATCCATAAAATCCTTAGCTTTGTCACATGCAGGTATCCTACCTCTCAGAGTCTCACTCATAGTTCTTTTCATCACCATGAGCGACATCCTGTTGGCTTTCTACCACTTTTCATGCTTCAATCTTTGCTCAGCAGTCGAAGTGTCAATCAGCAGTGCAGGTTCATCATCTCTCAGTGGTAAATCGAGATCCATCAAGCCCAACAAAATCTCAATGTCTTGTTTCCACCTTTTGAAGTTTCCCCCATTGAGAGGCTTGATCGACGAAAGGCTAAGTGCAGATGAGGTTGCTAAGACAGCCAATTAAAACATTAAATACAATTTTAATTTCATGCATCACTTACACATGTTTATATATCCCCTTTAGGTTAGAAATGTAAACACCCCTTCAAAGTAATCATGTACGTTCGGACCACTTCAATCATCTTTTATCACATATATATCAAGTCTTTGGACAAGATAATTACAAGATTATACAAGGAATGATTCATTGAAACCTTACGCATTTTATATATTCTTTCCTTTGGAAAAGAGTATTGTGGATGCAAATTTCTTCCTTCTCGATCTTGGACGATTTTGCACCTACAAAACAATTAACACCTTAGGTTAAGGCCAAGAGCCTCACGCGCTCACGATGAATGGGGGGGGCTTTGGCCGAAAAACCTCCGATGCCAAAGTTAGAATTTAGAAAGAAAGAGTGTTTAGAGAATTTTGGGATTTTTGCCAAAGTGTTGGAATGGGTTTTTGGTGGAAATGGGAGCATATATATAGGGATAGGAGGTGGCTTAATTTAGCAATTAATATATTAATTAAGAATAATATATTAATTGGTTAATTATCAATATAAAGGGAATGTTTTTATGACTTTCATGGCATGATCAGCTAATCAATCAAATAATGGTTGAAAAGATTAGCTAACCAATGTAAAAAAGGCAAATTGTGGTAGGAAATCAAAGGGAATGGCCGGCCCCCATTTTGGAGAAGGACCAACGGCTTTTAGGGTGATTTTTGGCTTTTAATTGATAATTTAATTGAAAATTAATGAGTTTATTAGGTAATAATCCCATTAATTTGTCAATTAACTCAATCTATGTGGAATATTTGGTAGGTTATAGAATGGTTATTTAATTATTTGGCTAGGAAGGAAAGTGAGGTAAAAATATATGAAATGAGATAGGTTTTGAATTGTTGCCTCTTTTGGAGCATTTTTTAATTGGTTGAGGATGATTACCCACTACTTGCGCGTAGGAACTAGTACAAAAACATGTTTGCGCGACGAAAACTTGCGCGACGCATTAAATTACGTCGCGCAAAGCGGTTTTGCGCGACGTAGGTATACGTACGTCGCGCGAAACGGCTTTGCGCGACGTTAGTTTGCACGACGAAGAACTACGTCGCGCAAAGCCGTTTTGCGCGACATATGTATACCTACGTCGCGCAAACTAACGTCGCTCAAAGCCGTTTTGGCGCCAAACCCTAAGAATTTACCGCTTTTTTCTCACCTTTGCGCGACGCATGCCCATCTACGTCCCGCAAAGTTGTTTTGCGCGACGTAGTCCTTCGTCGCGCAAACTTTTGGCGCCAAACCCTAAGAATTTACCGCTTTTTCCCACCTTTGCGCGACGCATGCCCACCTACGTCGCGCAAAGTTGTTTTGATCTTGAATGAGCTTTTCCTACTATCAACAGTATTTCGCTTTTCAGTATGTGTTGTTTATCTTTTCTTTTTCAAACTCATTTGGGAAAACAAAGCTTAACAGGAACTGCACGCTATGCTAGTTGCAATACCCATTTGGGAATAGGTAAGTAGAGATTTACTGTTTATTTAATTTTGTTAGAAACGTTTTGACTATCTTTTTTTCTCATTTTTGGGTTCATTGTTCTAGATCAGAGTCGTCGGGATGATTTGGAGTCACTTGGATATGTTCTTCTGTACTTCTTAAGAGGAAGGTATGCCATAAAGTCGAACCACTTTTCTGAATGAGAATTTTATATTTTGAATTATTTTCCACTCCAGTTAGGATTCTTGCTGATTTACTTTTATTGGTGAAACCGATGCGTTGGCTATTGCAATTTCATTTTGATGACAAGCACTCTTCGCACAATGTTTTGACCAGATATCTGGGTACTCCTCTACACTATTTTTCGGCCTGGCTGATTAATTGGTTTCTGCATTTAGCTTTCCTTGGCAGGGTCTAAAAGCTGCAACAAAGAAGCAAAAATATGATAAGATTTATGAGAAGAAGCTATCAACTCCCATTGAGGTATGTGCATCTTGTGGATAGGAGGATCGTGTTTAGAACTCAATCCAACATGGCTGACTTGTTGAATGCATGAGTTCCGATTTTAAGAATTCTTATCAAGAAGTATGCAATTATAAAACAGCTTCCAAATTTTTTTGTTTTTGTTTGTTTTGTTTGTTTGTTTTTTTTTTTTTTGCTTTTTCTTTCAGGAGGGGGGGTTTACTAATTTCTTTTGGAAGCTTTCCAGAGATCCATTACAATCGAGCAAGAATTTATGATGCATCCTTTTTCTTTCAGGAGGGGGGGTTTACTCAATCGTTCTAGTCCACAGGATAGCGTGTGCTTGTTTCTTAATTCTGTTGGGGTGTTATAACTATGAAGATAATGTTGTGTACTTTACCGTTCTAGTCTATGCAACTTTGTTATTTAATTCTGTGGTGACCATAGTGGTTGACATTTTGAAACTCTGTGCATAATAATTATGGTTTGCATTTCGACCACCACAAATAAGTTATTTATGGTTGCAAATTATATATTTCAAATGTATACTCATTTTCCCTTCCTTTGTTTGAGAGGTGCAGGTGGCTGAAAATGTGAAGTTGATTTCTCAAATCACAGATGTTTTTAGGACTCTTCAAGATTCCCCAGTAGAGGATATCCGTAATCCAAAGCAATCTAGCATAAACAGTTCAGTATGCTCGGTAACTCTCTATCTCTCTCTGTGTTGTGTGTGCATGCAGTGATCTGGTTTATACGTGTACACATGTGAAGCAATTTATTTTTGAATTTTTTTCACTTGTTACTGCCCTTTGTAATCAACTTTTTCACTGTCATTATATACTCTGATTGGTGATGACAGAGGCATGGCTATTGTATCTCATATAAGAGGAGAACTAATAAAGGAGAACTAAGGAGAACTAAGGACTAAATTAAGAGATAGATGCGTAAAGTGAAATAAAGGGTGCATAAATCACTTTATATTAAAATGAAGTCTAAGAGAAATTTAACTACATTTGAGATGTCACAGTGTACATAAATCACTTCATTTTCTTCGCTAAATTAATTTTGATTAATTTTATCTATTTTATTTAGGTTTAGTAATTATTGTGATTTAGTTTATTTGTATGCACATATTTTTGTACATCACCTACAAAATTATTTTGTGTTGTACGAAGTTAATACTACTTAACTTCGTACCCTTTTCTCAGGAAAAGCTTAGTTTCCCGTTTGAGAATTAGTTGGATTTCGTGCATGGATGCGAAAGCATGACTGCGGTCCAATTAATTCTTGAATTGTCCCATTTTTTGGACAGTTTGGGAATGCCCTAGTTATGTGTTGTAGTTTGCGGTCCACGGATTAGGTTTCGATAGTGGAAATTTTGGTAACATTTCCTAATGTTCTTTGAGTACACGGTGGATATTATGTATCTACGACGTGCACTTGAAGAACTGTAAGGAGATGCTGCCGAAATTAGCCCACGTAGAAATTTAATCCATTGGAATCGTAAATTACGGCACATAACTGTGCATTCTTGAATGGGATAGGGCCCTGACCGGAGGAATAAGGTGACAAGACAATAGTTTTCATGTCCTAATCTGTCTCATAATTTGCTTCAATTGTACTTAATTCCAATTTTTGAATAAAATGAATGAATGCCAGCAACGGTGTAGATTTTCAATGGCATCCAAATTCATATAGTTTAATTAGTTATATCTCCATTTACCTATATACCTATTCATTCCAATTTTATATGATCGCTGGATGCAAAACTTTTCTAGATATTATTAGTTGCAGCAGTTGCATCTCTTAAAGATCTTTACAACTTTTTTCTCACTGGTTCACGGTGGATTTTGTAGTTACTTCTTGAGCGTGGGGAAGCACGAAGGGTTATTCCTTGGTAACACATTTATAAGGATTCCGTTGTAGACGTTGTTGTAATTCTTGTACTTTTATTCGGATTGCGACAAAATGGACAAACAATGGATACATAATCATAATAGATGTGCTGTTGAGTACTTGGATGGAATACATGCGTTCATTGAATTCGCAACTAGACACAACCTAGGTTCAACTCATATCCGATGTCCATGTAGGAGGTGTAACAACTCAATGTGGGAGACATTCGAGAATGTTCGATTTCATTTAGTAAGAAATGGGATGTTGGAGACCTATACTACTTGGTATCATCATGGAGAACGATTAGACCAAGCTTCGTCTTCATACGTGACACGAGTGGAAACTGTTGAATCTAATGTGGATCCTAATGAACAAGTTATGAATATTCTAAATGACGTTTATCCATATGCCTCGAGCAACACCAATCAGGAAGGGGGAGAATGGGGAGATGACGACCGTCCAACCATGGACAGTGAGGCATTCAAAAACTACGAAAAACTATTGAAAATGCCAAGCAAGAATTATATCCGGGTTGCGAGAACTTTTCAGTGCTCACAGCAATTGTGGAGTTGATGCATGGTAAGATCAAGTTTCGTTTATCAAACAAGTGTTTTGATTACTTTTTGGGAGTTATCAAGAGGATGCTTCCAAAGGAGAATTGTTTACCTGAAGATCATAAAAGGGCCCAAAAAGTGTTGAAGGGTCTCGGATTGGGGTATGAAAAAATTCACGCATGTGTAAATAATTGTATATTGTTCTATAAGGAGAACAAAGCGTTGGATAAATGCCCTGTCTGCAATGAGCCGAGGTTTAAAATGACATCACAGAATAGAAACACCAAGATTCCACAAAAAGTAATGCGCTATCTTCCGTTGAAGCCTAGATTGCAGCGATTGTACATGTCGATGCATACCGCAACCGACATGAGATGGCATAAAGAAGGACGGGTAAATGATGATGTTATGAGGCATCCTGCAGATGGAGAGGCATGGAAAGAATTTGATCGGATGTACCCTGATTTTGCAGCTGACCCGCGCAACATCAGATTGGGACTTGCCACCGATGGATTTAATCCGTTTGGGGTGTTAAACCTAAAGCACAGCACTTGGCCGGTCGTCGTGTTTCCTTATAATTTGCCACCTTGGAAGTGCATGAAAAAAGAATACATGATGTTGACTCTATTAATTAACGAAGATCCAGGAAAGTCCATTGATGTTTATTTGCGGCCGTTGGTTGATGAGCTAAAAGATTTATGGGAAAACGGTGTTCGTACATATGATAAATATACTGGGCAGATGTTCACCATGCGAGCGGCAGTGATGTGGACAATAAACGATTTTCCTGCATATGCAATGGTTTCTGGGTGGATGACTAAGGGTTATTTGGCATGTCCAATATGCAAGGATAACGTAACATCATCTTGGCATGCAAGAAAAGTTTGTTATCTTGGTCATCGTAGATGGCTCCCTTGGGACAACGAGTGGCGTCAGAACGATAAAGCCTTCGACGGCACAAAAGAGAACTCGGCTAAGACCAAGAGAATGGTCCGGAGATGAGATTTTGGATCAGTTAAACCGTTTGGAATTTGGTCATTTCGGCAAAGGGGTCAGTAAACCCCAGACCAACTACACATCTGAACTGGACGCACAAGAGTATGTTATTTGAGCTTCCGTACTGGTCAAAGTTAAAATTGAGACACAACCTCGATGTTATGCATATTGAGAAAATGTGTTTGACACTTTGGTCGGGACAATTCTAGACATTGAAAGAAAAACAAAAGACACGATCGAAGCTCGCCTCGATTTGGAACGAATGGGCGTTAGGTCATCTTTGTGGATGAAGAATGTCGGTGGTACGTTGAAGAAAGGCCATCCTTTTTTTACAGTTAAGCCGAATGGGAAGAAAGAGTTTTTCAACTTTATTTCTTCTGTAAAGTTTCCAGATGGGTATGCTTCCAATATCTCGCATTGTGTGAACGTGAATGGGTGTAAATTTCAAAACATGAAGAGTCATGACTGTCATGTGATACTCCAACGCCTTCTTCCAGTTGGTATTCGACACTTATTGCCTCTTGATGTGGTGAAACCAATCGTGTTATTGTCGAGATTTTTTTCGCAGTTGACTGCAAGGTGTTTGAGGAAGTCAGATGTTAAACAATTGCAGGACGACATTGTGAACGTCTTATGCAAGTTCGAACAGATATTTCCCCCAGCTTTTTTTACAAGTATGATTCACGTGATGATTCACTTGCCAGATGAGGCATTGCGTGCCGGACCAGTGAACTGTCGATGGATGTATCCAATAGAAAGGTACTTAATTAAGCGTCTATATATATATATATATATAACATATTCATGATCAACGAACGCTTTGAATAATTTGTAGCATACCTTTTATTTGTGCAGATATATTGGTGAGTTGAAAAAGTC